CGTCTCCGGGCCGTCCCGTCAGGCCAAGCCTCGGCAGTGTCAGCAGAACAGCCCAGGCCGCTCCATCTCCCCGCGCTCCAAGGGGAAAACAAACGGATTTGCAGTACTGTAAATAGGAACAACTTAACTTCCATCTCCTCCGCTCCAAACTTTTCCACCCGAAAGCCCACATGGCTCAACTTTTAATTATTTTGGCTAATGCTGTATGTAGTAATTCTGTGGCGAATGCTTAAGTGTTTCATTTCTGGTTGCCAGGGCAACATTACATCAGATTGCAGACAGCTGGCTCCACAGCCGCAAACCGTAGCGACCGGCTCGGCTGCACCAACGCGTGAAGGGCTACAGGGAAACAGGGACTGAATCAACAGCATCTGGAAACAGCAAGGACGGCACGCAGAGGACTGCAGCCACCACGTACCGCATGGCTGGAAAGCCACGGAGAGGCCAAGGCCCACGCCCACCGCCCAGCTCCTCGCCGCCAACAAACGTGGCCACAGACCTACGGAGATGCTGTCGAATCCAGGAGAGATCAGTTCCCTCCGCCACCTCTAGCGTCTCCGCTGCTCGGAATACTCTGCCTACTCGTGCACCTCTAAAGACCACGCTGTGCATCGTCTCGTACGTAAGACCAAAGTAAAAAGCCTTATGCTCAGGAACAAATAGGAAATTAGAGCATGTACTTCGGTACTCCAGGAGCGCTCCACAGCTCTGCTCCCGCGCCTGCTTTGCCTTCTCCTCTCACGCAGGCTGGCTGCTGTTGCTGCTGCCCGTGCTGGGGGCAAGAGAGGAGCCCTCCTGTGCTGCTCTCTAACTCCCAGCCACAGAAATAACGATCCTAACCTCCCCCTTCGAACCAGTGCTTCATGCACGCTCACACACATGCACAGACAGAGAAAACTAACATTTATTAGGGTACTCAGAATTAATGGGCAAAATGTAAACCAGAAGTAAGTAGCTAGCTTCCTGCAGGACTATGCTAGGGAACACTTCAGGGTTACAGCAGCAGCCCTTAATAAACAAAAGATAAGCAAAGCCTGCTAGCCAGGTCACAGTAAAAATGTTTAAGAAACACTAGGACAATATCCAGTTAAAGCTATCATAACTGATTAATCTGTTTCAGCTCCATAAACAAAAACATATGTGACTTTTACATGAGCTGTGTGAAGCCGTTTAGAGACATGTTAAAATTTAACAATTTGCTTTATACCCAGTAATAGTTCAGCCCCAAAGTGAAATCTCTAGGAAACCTCCCATCTAAGAAACACGGAAATCTCTTAACATCTGATTAAGCCCAAGCTGCAATTACTTTTGGCTATCAGACAATTCTTGTTCCAGCAAAGTGGGGCAAAAATACACACTCAGACTCGTGGGCATATCACATCACATCCCCCAACCCTGGCTAGCTCAGCTCAGAACTACGAGCTCTACAGTAAATGCAATGAGATTCTGCTGTTCGCTTTAGGAGACGTGGCTACACGTGTCCCTTCTTTCTCTCTAACAGGCTTTACATCCG